TAGATGTAGATGTCTATGTACCACAGCATCCACTTACCATCGGGTGGACTCTTTGACTTATTCTATAAATTTGTCCAAGTCAAGCAACAAATTGTTTTTTTTTTCTGAAGTGAAAAACCAACTAACAGACCACCTGATATTCATTGGCTACGGCAGCACATGGACTCCTAAATCCAAATTCATACAATGAAGGCTAAGAATGCAGTGTCATATCTAAGGAGTAAGATACCTTGTTGTCTGTTATAATACTGGTCTCTATTACTTTCAGACCGGAACACAGCAGTACGCATTGCTGCGCACCGAATCTCGGTTACGGTGACTAGCCATCCGCGCAGGAAAGGATAATAATTCACAAGTGTATACACAAGAACAGGTGCACTCTCACTCTCAGAGATAACCCGTAGAGATATCTACCAACCATCTAGATACCAACAGCACTGTGTACTTGCCGAGATATGAAATATTTATCACCAACTTCTTGACTCGGGTCTGGTACAGAGAATCGCTTGACAGAAAAACCTAGTAAATTTTTTTGACCCGACCCCGAATTCAAACCCGGGATTTCATGATCAGCAATCACGTTAGCGACTACTAGACCAACCAGGCCCTCAAATGTTTGGCAATAGAAATAGCTAGGTAAGACGTGTGAGCTACCACGATTCTAGACTGTTCTAGAACGGGTAATGTAGACCATTGGTATTCTCTTTGTAGTTATAATACAAAAGAAAGAAAATTAGACGAGCAGTAAATTTATTTATTTTCTTAAACAACTTATAATTTATTTATTTACATAATTTCTCGACTTAATTTTTTATTAAATACAATATTGATCCGATCTATGATGCATTGATCTATCCTTAAATTAATCATGTATCTTATCCTCTTATTTATACTTTTTAAGTAATAACTTTAGCTTTTGCATTTTAACATGTAGTACTTAACTCTAAAATATTACTCTCTTATATTGAATTCAAATTATATTCAAAATTTAAATTTGATTTAATGGCAAAAACAATACGCTAGCGAATATGTTGACTTGATTATTGTATTTACAGCTAGCGATCTGTTCCGGCTTCCCACGGGTGATATTTGGATTCTACAACAGCGCCACCTACCGGGTCTAACAATGCCTTTAACTTTCGCAGAATTGCAAGCAATATGGTGACAAAGTTTTTACTGCAGTCTGATGAACGGTATGGCAGCGTATAAAATAAGAACAAAGAAAAAATTATTTTTATACGTATATTAGATTATTATTAACTAATGCTAATTGTAGAAACTAAGTGAGACTTCCTTGCGATGTGGCAGCTGGCGACGCGACACTTCACCGAACATTCAGGCTATAGACTAAAACAATTTAGTTTTTTATATTATTTTTTTATTTTTCTATTTATATTAGACAATTTACATTTTTATCAAAAATTCGGGCATCGTTGTGTGAGAGCAACTACGAAGCAACTAAAATGAATTGATAAAAAACTACTTTTGCGAGTTTTATTGCGTTTTAGCCGCCGCCAGCCGAAGAAGCCGCCAAAGTTTAGTCATTTATTATTATCAGTCACGTGTAACATACCTCTACAAGATACAGGAGTGTACAAACTTGTTTGTGAATGTGGTTTCTCATATATTGGGCAAACAAAAAGGTCCTTAGAAATCCGCGTATAAGAACATACAGCTGACGTGAAACATCAACGTTCCGAGAAGTCTGCAGTTTGTGATTATATACTAAGACGGCCCCCGTCATTACATCAGATTGACTGACTACAAATCCTCACGAAAGAACATCGATTCCTGCCAAGGATAACACGTGAGGATATGGAATGATATCCCAATATTGAAAAAATTCCTAATTTCAATGGATAATGAGGCTGGGTACTACCTCCTTGTAGCACCCGAAACATCGGGAGTTAAAATTAAGCGAATTAAACGAGATAAAATCCGTAAAAGTAGTTTAATTCAATGTGTAGTGTTCGAGTAAATGTAAGAAATCATTAGATGAAGTTCAGCCAGGACAAATACATCACCTTTCTAGAAATCGTACGTGTAGTGGAATTCAAAAGTCCTTATTTGGTCTAAATAATGCAGACCGATATCAGGAGACCCGTTTTACAGGAAATCAGGCATTGCATCTTAATTCCCAGGGGTGACGACGTATCCTGCATTTTGATACAATTTCTACGGGCCACGGTATCCACTTATCATCAGGTGGACTGAGTACTCCTTTGTCACTCTTATTCTAAAAAAAGGGAAGGCCTTTGGTACTAAAGCCACAGACTCCTCAATAGTGGGTGAGGTAAGTAGTATCACATTACATGTGACTTACTTATTAATATAGTATAGAATACTTAGTACTGACCTTTTTTATATAACTAAAGTGACAAAACTTAGTCCACCTGATGAAAATAGTAAATGTTACACCCCGGAGACAGCTCTTTTGGCAATAGAATGAAGGTAAGACATGTGAGCTACCACGAAGATTTCTAGAAGGGTAATGTGAATTGGTATCTTTTTAGTTATAATAAAAGAAAGTGAGAGTAATTTTAAAAAAATTGATGGAAATTGGCTACTGCAATCCATTAACACCTGCACAAAGAAGGCTACAAATGCGTTGTTACTCTTAAGGACTAACATACATGGAATGAAAAAAGTGTGTAATGTGCTTTAGCTTATTGTTTGACATAAAATATTCTGTATTTTATAGTATAGTATTGTATAACTATGTTCCAGAAGTCAGGAATAATTAATGCCCGGAATCGTAGTGACTCTCTTCACCCTTCACACAAAAATGAGTCCTACGACCTGAAGAAATGTTACCTTGTTGACGATGACAACAGTCAGATGTTTATTAAACTATAATCGCAGAAACCGCTTTTATCTAAAAAAAAATGTAATTTGCTCATTGACAATAGTCGTGGATAACATTTTAGATTGAATTTTGTGCTATTAAGTAGAATATTATCGGAATGGCGGTGAATTAAAATTGACCTGGTTATTTTTTTAACTTCTATGCTACTGTTGTCGAATATTTTTGAAGTATGTAAAAATAATAAGATACTTTCAAATTGCTGATTAAAAATTGTCGTTGATATTTTTTTTATTATGGGTCTCTAAGTGGATTATAGTCTGGTTAAAGTTGACATCTGACATTACTAAAGAAAAATGAGAAAGCAACTTCAATTTCCTTAATAAAAATTGTCGTAGATATTTGAAAATAGAAACCAATCCTACTACGTTGATGATTACTAGGTTCACAACTACATTTGAAAGTTACTTAAAAATAAATATTTAAGGAATATAAATTTGTTTATTAAACATTGTCGTAGATACTTTTTTAATAAATTCTGGGCTATTGAGTCTACTAATATCCGGTGAACTGTGACTTCTGCCAGTTATTTAAGAAGAAAAAAATAAAAAAATCAGTTTTCTCATTAAAATTGTCGTAGTTATTTCTTTTTATTTTATTGTGTGTTGCTAAGTGCAACTAGCTTGAAAGAAGATATAAAATATAAAACTTTTTTATTCAACAATCATATCAAAAGAGAATTAAAATGTCTACTTGCACAATTTTGTCCCAAATTTGATCCCGGTGACATCTCAAAGCTAACAAGGGGAAGATGTCATCTGTACTGGGAATGTTCAATGCCATAATTGAAAGAGGCTCTCAATCGTATTTAAATTATCGTGCGTGTTGTGACCTTAATGTGATAAGATGTTGGAGGGTCGGAAGCAGGTTCTGCGACACAGAGGCCATTTTAACATATATAAAATATATTACTTATGGCTTTCATTTTACTGTCATTTTGTAACAAAATAAAGACAGCAATTTGAAGAAACAAAAGTCAGGTAGCTTAATGCTAAATGATACAAACTGCAAAACTCAAATGTCGTGGATTAGTATTAACTATTGACGTTAATTACTCCAAGCATTTTAAGCTCAGTTGAAGTGGTAACGGGAATATAATACTTACCGTAAGAAGCACTGCTGTTATTTTAAAATAAATATAATGACGATGACAACTATGATAAATATAACATTTGATATCCACGAGCCAAACATATTAAGAAAAAACATTTGACTTCTGGGGATGTCTTTTTCTACAAGTGTCAATTTTATCTGTCCGTTGTGCATTTAAGAACTTTGCTTCAGTACAGTATGTCACAAGTCCACTGGTGATCACATGCCTCCCCATTAACACACACGTTCGGCCTTGACCCACTTTAATCCATCGAGTACCTGCGTACTGTGCTTAACAGCAAATCTGTGCTGCAACACCCAGCAAAGGATAGAAGCGATTTTCATGATTAAAAAGATTTCTTAAAATATGCATATTTAACTTGTAATATAAAATATATTAGAGTGTATTTAAAATTATATTTGGGCTATCAATCTTTAATCATGCACTTGTCTAAGTAGTCGTAATGTTGTAAACATAATTGTATTCGTATATACGTGGAGTTTATAATATACATAATATTTTAAAACATTATAATATGTGTGTTAAATATTTTAGAGCTATCTATTGTAACAATTATGAAGTATTTCTAATAATTTAAAGGAAATTCAGGATTCAATAATTAAGTATTAGAATGTTTACGTATGTGAAATGTTTCATCTTTTACCATGTGAAACTCTTGAGTGTTAAACATGATTTTATTGTTAATATTTACATATTCCTTAAATTTTCTTTCATCAATAATATTAGTAATTTAGCAGTTAAAAATAACTTTAACCATATAACAAAGCTAGATACTAAAACTTTTGAGAATAAGCTACGCAAATATTTAAAACTTAATCAAGTCTTTTGTTAAAAATGCTGGACCTTACTATGAAATTTTACAATTAAAATTATTATATTATTAATTCACGTTATTTAATGATTTTAATGAAGTTATCAATAAATAAATATTTGAAATAATTTGACCTACGTATATAATCTATATACGATGTAAATGTCCACTTTGTGCTAATGACTAATTACAATAAATTCCAAATTCATAGACTAGCAACCCATCAAAGTGACAATAACGCTCAGAAGCGCGGCGGAGAACGGGTACTGCAGGCGAAGTTGACCTCCATGTTGCATTGCGGCAGGATGTTCCCCTAAATAAGAAAAATATTATATTATTTGTTCAGAATATTCAATAACATTTAGTTAACTTTACAACAACTTTCAAACAAGAGGAGATTATGAATAATTTTGGCAATATAATGTGCATGTATATAACACGATTTTTCCGACAAACAGTTGCATTTTTAACTGCCAAAGTAGAAGTGGTTCTGTATATTTTTCATCCAAATCCGATGAGGACTAATATCGTGACTGTTTTGTAAACATATTTTAAGCATTTGTCATTATTATATTATTAGATGTTTTAATTTAAGTAAAAGTGCCAAGTGAGCACGATGACGACCTGATGGTAAGTGGGTGTTATGAGTTGTGACCTACATATACCTACAATATCTATTCAAGGTTCAAAATATAAATGCAAAAACGTTGTAACCGTAACATTAAAAAATATTGGGAGTAAATAATACGAGCGAAACAAATTTGAATAAAATGTAAAAGCCGACTTAAAAGGGACTAAAAAGGTATTGCGGTTAAGAATATCCACTACTCAATATCTTTCCGTGGGTGTCGTAAGAGGTGATATAGGAAAACAGGTAGCAGTATCCTCCTGATAACAGCAATGCTGTAAAAAACTGTTGGCAACCCGCTCACCAAGCGTGGGAACTATGGTAAACATACCCCATGAGGAACCAGAAAAATAAACTGCCCCATTCTTTTTATTACTGGCTACGCAGGCGAACATGTTAACAGCGAGGCAGGGCGTGATAATAATCTCTAGTGGCGGTTTGGTTGCCTTCTAAGACGAATCGAAGTAGTAACATTCAACGCACACAACTTGAGGAATAACAAGAAGATCCTGGAGCTGTTAAAAGAGGTAGACACGTTGCGCTGTGATATTATAAAGTTATCTAAGGTTCGAATAGAGAGAAAGGATGCGATGATTCTCGAATCGGGAAACGTGTTCTATACCGAGAGTGCAACCATCTGTCCCAATGAGGTATCGGATTTATCGTCAAGCCTCTCGTGAACAACGTTGTAAAGATTTGGTGTGTGTCGACGAGGTAGGCGTACCTTGTACTCAGAATCTCCAAACTGTATTGGGTGAAGGTCATCCAGGTTTACGCACCAACCTCTGCACATCCCGTTGAGGAGGTGGAGGAATTTTATGATTGAATTGATTAGAATATCTCTCAAGCCATGCAATTTTACAAAATAAATTATACCGTATAAATATAATAATTCAACGCAAAACTAAGCACAAGAGAAAACGGTAAACTGAAGGTAGGGAAATTCGGAATAGGGCAACGGAACCCATAGGGTAAGACTATGGAGAAGAGATGGTCGACTTCTTGAAGAAATTTTTTTCTCTTTATGATGACTATGAATTTCTCTTTATGATGACTCTTTCTTAAAGAAGCCGCCCCACAGGAAGTGGACCTGGTAAAGTCCCGATGCGACAGTTTGACTAAAAATGAGATGGAAAGCAGTACGAAGATTAAACAACTTTTTATGTGATGAAGTCCAGTGATCGCAAGGGTGAAAAGTGGCAGCCGTCACCACATGGTTGGAAGCACACTGAATATGAACGTTAAATTGGATAGATCTCATCTAATGAAGTCAGCTCTAATCCAGAATCCCAAAACCTTTCAGCTCTAGTTGCGAAACCGCTTCCAGTGCCTATAAGATTGCAATGTAGTGGACGATATGAATGACAAGCTCGTGGAAATTGTCCACGCGATCGGAGCAATTTTCTGCAAGACCAGTCGCAGAAGGGCACAAAAACTGTCAGACCACACTCTTAATCTAAAGAAATAGAAATGAAGCTGCAGTTTTTGGCATATTTGATAGCATACTGGCAACAGAACAGACAAATCTCTAAATGCATGCAGGTTACTTACGCAAATTCAATATCGCTCGTATTGAAGAAGCGAGCGAGAGGAACTAGGTAGGGCTTTTAAATCTTTACCGGAGATCTGTCTGCCAGAAAGAGCCAACCGTCAAAGCTGAAGACCGAGTGTGGCAACACTGTTTTCAGGACACCTGCGATTTTTAGTGAGATTGAGAAATTCTAAGGGCAGCTGTACACGTCGTTGTTGTAGCCAAACACAAGTATGAATAAAAGGAAGACTAATCCAACACTTTTGACGGACTGAGAAAGCAAATACAGCGAAGTTACTGAAAGCAGGTGGAAAACTGGTACTTAAAGTCCTTCAGAAGCTCGTCAATTTCGTCTTTCTTGATGGGACTACTCCAAAGGCGTGAAGCAGAAGTATGGTATTCAAGAACAAGAGTTCTTTAAGAAAGGCGACAATGATCTTTCGAAGAACTACAGGCCGATTTAACTTCTGAGCTGCGTCTATGTGCTGTTTTTGAAAGAATCGTCGAATCGTCTCGTACGCAGACTCGAAAATTTCCAGCCTCTTGAACAAGCCAGTTTCCAAAAAGGCTCTAGTACCAATTTTTCTGAATGGTATGTGTACGTGGTCTAGTACATACCATTCAGAAAAATTTACAGAAGACCGAGGAGTACAATCTGCCACTTTGTCTTGCGTATGTGGACTATGAGAAAGCCTTTCTGCATCGAAATTGGGACGGAGAGTGCTTTACTCGGATTTTCTTTGCGTGATTAATGTAGACATAAGGACATCCCCTTTAGAACCAGTATGATCCTCATATCCGAAACGATTAGTAAGCTGAAGTGGCAATGGGCCAGCCATTTAGCTAGAAGAACTGATAACCGAGGCCCCAATTCGCCCCCCCCCCCATCAACATGGTAGCGGAATTAAATGATGATAGATTTCCCCAGGAAGGTACCAGCACCCCTGGAGAATCCTTCACTCAGCATCCACGACCATGTTTCTCCACTCCTGAGCGTGGGTGCTCAGGCTGCCCCGCGTATTCTGGAGGGGGGGGCAAAATTCCGCTCAAGACTACAACTACTCGGGGCAAACAGAGCAACAAATACAAGGTGACCCGGCTCCGCTCTTTCTGACCGAGACGCAGGTGTCCTCTCCGGCTGGTTCTCGACGCCTCAGTAGACTTGAAGGTACGGACCTGTCGATCCTTTGCCTACGCGTAGACAGTGGCGATCATACGCGCGTCTACGGGTGCCTCTATAGGTCCCATAGCGGTAGTGCCGGAACAGACCGACTCTTCGACGACGTCCAAATGGCTACAGATTCGGGGAGATCTGTTCATGATTTTGCCTTGGCATATGGTCTGACACAACTGGTTACTTCGCCTACGCGGCTTCCAGATGTGGAGGATCATGCACCTTCTCTGTTGGACCTTCTGCTGACCTCTCACCCGGACGGATATCAGATTTCCATCGACGCCCCTTTAGGCTCTTCGAACCATTGTTTTGTCCGGAGTGTGGTGCCACTCACGCTGAAATGCAGTGTTATTCTGCAGGCTGCAGTGTTTGGCACTATAGGTCAGCCGATTGGGATGGGATGCGGTCTTTCTTTGCATCCTACCCTTGGGAGCGGGTTTGCTTCTCGCCGGACGATCCCTACGTTGTTGCGGATTCTGTCGCTGATGTGGTGCTTCAGGGTATGGAACTTTTTATTCCTTCCTCTGTGGTGCCCATTGGAGGCAAATCTCAGCCATGGTTTGGTCGCTCTTGTAAAATAGCATCATGCTATAAGCAGGAGTGCTACCAAGCCTGGGCAGACGCATCAATGTCCCGGGATGTAAACACCAGCGCTCTAAAAAAGGAGAATAATTCCGCCTCTAGGTCTTTCAAAAAAGTCATTGCCAAGGCAAAATCAGAGGACGTAGGCAGAATTGGCGAGAAACTAGTTCACCTTCCCTCTGGAACCCGTGCATTCTGGTCTCTCACCAAGGCTGTCCAGGGGAATTTCTGTCAGCCATCTCTTCCATCTCTGCACAGGGAGGACGACTCACTGGCCCATACCGCAAAGGAGAAAGCCGACCTCCTAGGCTCTTTATTTGCGTCCAACTCGACTCTCGATGACGGGGGGAGTACGCCGCCGACCATCCCGCGGTGTGAGTGCTCCATGCCGGAAGTGCAGTTCACACAGCGCTCGGTTCGCAAAGCACTCCTCTCCCTGGACATCCACAAGTCGAGTGGGCCTGATGGAATCCCCCAAATAGTGCTGAGGATGTATGCTCCAGAGTTGGCACCGGCTTTAACGCGTCTTTTCCAGTACTCCTACACCCTAGGCGTAGTCCCAAAATCATGGAAGACGGCTTTCGTCCACCCGGTCCCTAAAAAAGGCGCTCGCTCAGACCCGTTCAACTACCGGCCTATCGCCATCACTGCCACTGTTCACTGCCAGCTCATGAGGTTACTTGAGGATCACGAGCTGATTAGTGACCGCCAATACGGTTTTCGCCGTGGTCGGTCAGCTGGTGATCTTCCGGTCTAAATAACTCATAGATGGGCGGAGGCAGTAGAGTCCAAGGGGGAGGCGTTGGCCGTTAGTTTGGACATTGTGAAGGCCTTCGATCGGGTTTGGCACAAAGCGCTTCTTTCGAAGCTCCCTTTCTATGGGCTTCCCGAGAAATTATGCGATTGAATCACCAGCTTTCTTGCAGATCGGAGCATCAAGGTCGTTGTAGACGGTGCAAGCTCCGATTACAAGCCTATTAATGCTGGCGTTCCACAAGGCAAACATTCATTGCTATGCAGATGACAGCACTGGTGATGCTCTTTACACCGGCCGTGCCAATATTTCTCGGGAAAACGTCTCCGAGTACCGGGACAAACTTGTATCTGAGGTCGAATCTTTGCTGAACAGAGTTTAGGATTGGGGCGACTAAATCCAGTCCAATCTAACCCCCAGCATTCTTTTTAGCGGTTAACGCGCAAACTTATGTCTTGCGCGTTAACCGCTAAAAAGAACCCCTTTGTCGTATCTCCTCAGTTTCAAGGCACTACCTTTGTTGCCTCAGCCAGTATCGGAATCCTCGGCGTCGACATATCGAGTGACGTGCAGTTTCGTGGTCATTTGGAAGAGAAGGCCATTGACCTCTAAAAAGCTTGGCGTGCTCAGCGGAGCGGGACAGTATTTCATGCCGGCACACCGCCTGCAACTTTACAAGACGCAGGTTCGGCCGCACATGGAATACTGTTCCCATCTCTGGGCTGGGGCTCCCCAGTACCAGCTCCTTCCACTTGACCGCATCCAGCGCAGAGCGGCTCGAATCGTCGACGACCGAGTGCTTTCCGATCGGCTCACTGGCGCTGCGAAGAGATTTTATTTCGCATATACCATGGAGAGTGCTCTGAGGAATTGTTCAGATTAATCCCAGCCGCCAAATTTTCTGAACGAACTACGCGGCAAACGTTCCGATACCATCCACACCTTCTGGATACTTGGCGGTCCACCACAGTACGTTTCAAAAGGAGTTTTCTTCCGCGTACAACCTCTCTGTGGGATAGTTTACCACCGGCGATTTTTCCGGACCGATACGACCTGGGGACCTTAAAGAAAAGACCTTTCTAAAGGGCCGGAAACGCACTTGCAATTCCCCTGGTGTTGAGGTTGATCATGGGCGGCGGTATTCACTTAACATCAGGTGAGTTGCATGCTCGTTTGCCCCCTCTTCTATAAAAAAACCGATGGAGAAAAAATTTCTCGAGTAATAGCCTCGTACCGGTAGGTAAATTGTAGCGCGACCCCTAACTAGATGGAAAGAGAACTTATAGTAAAACATGCAGGAATTTGTACGTACGCAGATTTGTTATTTAGTTATACAGGTTCATTGTTACTTTTTTATTTACTTTTTTTTTACTCTTTCTCATCAAATGTTTTTAAAATTAAATACCAAATAAATTAAATTACATTCTACGCAAATCTTTATAATTTTCTGGTTGTGCATAGTTAATAAAAAAATAAAAGCCGTTCAGAAGCTGTTACGTGGATTTTTTAAATACCTTCTAATTCTATGGAGTCGGTTGTTACTTTTTTGATAAAAGTTTAATATTTTGACCCTTTTGATTGTAATAAGAAATGTCAACTAGAATGTCGTCTAAATATTAACACTAAAAACTTCACCCATGTCTTCCCACGGTTTGGATTGGTGGGATTTGTCTCTTAATTTATAGAGGAGAACGAAAATAATACCATTTAATTTGGTTTACAGTGATTATGGGCATCCACGACTTTTCCTTCCACCAGGGCGGCGTCACTAAAGAATGAGGTGAAATATTTGAAAGGTTTCATAGCGGGTTGTCATTGGTTAGGAAAATCTAACGGTTACTGTTTCTTTATTAAATATTATTGATAAATTAAATTAATTAGATTAGAAATGGATAAACTAAACTACGGATAATCCTTAAATTAGAGAAATTAAAATTGAAGGAATTAAATATGTGCTAAAAATGAATGAGCAAACCATTAAGGCACTTTTTTGTGTATTTACACACTAGGAACCGATAAACTTTTATTTAAAACGCAATTTCTCAATTAGTTTGCATCAAATACCTCACTCCCAACTAGCAACATCTGTTGAGCATAAAATTTTTAGCCCACATTAAAATTTTTAGACGACAAAATTGCGTAACACCCAAACAAAAAAAAAACTTAAATTGAAACACTCCTTTTTTGAAGTCTTGATTGAAACACCACATAAGTTAATAATGCTTTTGTCGTAGAATTTATTAAAACGCAAACTTTGCGAAGAAGATATATCAAACAAAAGGCAACTCTTAAATTGTAAATTACAAGAATTTTCTCGGAAGATAATGTCAATAGATTTTATATATGTCACTTGCTATTGGTACGTAGTACCAATAGCAAGTGCAATGTAACGATTCTCCGCAGTAAGTCTACTTTTCCACAAACTTAACAAAGAAGTCTGAAAAGAACAACAGTTTTTTTGTCCCCAATACTACCATTTAATGCTATATTTATGCTAATGTATGGGGGCAGCTTACATACATTAATTTCATAAGGACAGACACCCAAACCCAGCACTATTTGTAGGCCATACAAATACTTGTTTCTTGCAGGAATCGAACCCGCAGGCCTCAGCGCATAAACTCATTGCAAAGTCACTGCTCCAAGGGGACGTCAACTAAATAAATAATATTTTTTCGATTTTAGCGAGTTTAAGTTAACTTGGTTTTAATTTTTATTTATTACCGATAAGAATTCTACAATTAGTAATAAACACAGCGCAAACCACTGAAGTTTAGTTGCTGTGCTTGAGTTCGCTATGCTTATTACAAAACAAAGTACCTATACACATTCATATAACTATGTGATTTTTGCTATCTAAAGAAATCACTAGAAAAATCATATAACTATGCGATCTTCGCTATCCGAAGAATTCACTAAAAACATCTTCAGTTTGCTTTTTGTATTTTTTATTAGAGTTCCTAAACACAGGATCCAATTTATTTATGATTCTAGGAATTAAGAACACAGCAGTGCGTCTGCCATAAATACGCCACCAAATTGCCGCGAGTAAGCACCCAAGTTCCCTTAACATGTTCAACTTTTATTTTAATAGAATTATTAAAAAAATCTTCCTTCAGAAGTTGAAGTATGAATTGGTCGTGCACGCCTAACACGTTGCAATATTTAAATAAATTGTATTTCATTGGACGAAAATTGCTGCTTTATGTTAGCCGAGACTACTTGTTTCAATATTCTTATATGAAGATTATATAACCTATCCACATATGTCTTGAAAGTTCACTCAAAATTAGAGAGGCTATAGCTCAATATAGAATTAGCAAACACGTTGTATAATGCTAATTGAGTCCTAAAAGTCATTTGTTTTTTGTCGATTTTTATGTATGCGAGGTACGCTCGTAATTTGTCACATACTCGTACTCTATTTTGGGTCCCCAGTTAAACGTACTATCGATTACTAATCCAAGGTACACGAAGGAATCTACCATTTTAATTGGTGGATACCTACAGGGACGGTAACTCGAATTATGAAGGCATCTATGATCGTGAGCTATAAGATTGTTCTATGTACTTTCTATCTTAAATAAAGGGATCTTATCTGTAGTATCTTAGTCATGTGTAGTACCTTATTTTAACTTCCAAATTTTGGAGTGATTTACAGCACCATTGTTCAAGAGGGTTGGTTTAGGTGTTTGAAATCCCTATGGCATTGTAAACCTAAAGTACCTTCAACTTTATTTACTTTTTCCGATCTACGCAGAACCACCTTACTTAAAATTTGAGTCTTATGTCTTTTTTGAAGAACGAATTGCAGAGGTATACTTGGGTCGAAATTTCATTGATTTACTTATAGAGTACCTGACAGGTGGTAGTAACCAGGCACCTTCTGCTTTGAAATTTGTATGTTATTTTTTATTTTATTTTAATATTGTCGCAAATCATCTATGGTAAAAATCGATGTTTTTTTTTGCAAAGATTTATGGTTTATTAAATCTGGTGAAACTACAAGTTCGTTTGATGTCTTTTAAGCTAGTAAATTAAAATCAGTAAAGTTTATAATGTAATTCTGGTTTTGTATTATTATTCTTTTTCTTTAAGATGATGGATATTTAGACCGTATCTGTGAGTCACGGGTACTGGTCCGAACATGTGTGTTTTTGTGTGTTTATGTAAGAGATGGCCATAAAATAAAAAATAGAAAAATAACAACTTACCACTAAGTACATGTACAAGCACTGATCTTGGGTTAGCGTTTGCTGGGGCACAAGTATATCGCCCAGAGTCTGGTGACTTTGCCTTTTGGACGAGGAGATGAGACGTCGTCGTCTCACCTTTTTCAGTAATGACCGAGACACCTCCACGTGGTGAGTCGTAATTGATTTCCTAAAAGTGTCACACACATCGTAATTCACTAAAATATCAACCAACACTTATCTACTACAAAAATGTAATTATGAAATGAAATATCTCATCACAGTCCGCGAGCAACCCAGGTTTAATCCCCCGCCGGCACTAGCAAATGATAGCAGAAATAATTATTAATTGTTCGTTTATCAAGTGAATGGTTGCGGAGGGAAATATCGAAATGAAACCTGAATCTCTAGGGAATGGAATATTACAAGGAAATATAAAGTTCGCTAACACGCACTGAAGCAGCGCGGGGTTCTAATTGCTCTGTAACCCTTTCGGAAATTTGAAGACTGTGTTCAGTTGCGAGGTGTACGAGTACACTGTTTTTATATTTTTATAATAAAATATTCTTCATTAAAAATGTCAAATCCGCAACACATAACCAGCCGGGCTAATTGCTCCATAACAATCTCAGGAAGAGAGGGGGCTGGGCCCAACAGTGGGATTTTGTGTGTTACTTTATATTTCGATTGCTAAGATGTTATGTTTAGCGATTACTTGATGATTAATTATTATTGGACTGACAAATTGGATAATGATCTCAAGCAACGTTAAATTAGCAGGATGATTCAAATTAAGTGAAAAGCGAAAATGTTTTAGTTGCGTTAAATTGTTTAAGTTGTAGAGCTGCAGCACGAAAGGGTCGGCTTGATTGGTGTGAAATCGAGCTTTTACAAAATATCATCGTGAAACAGCAGAATAATGCTCTTGTGTTTTGTATGCTGCCCTTAAAGACCAGGAGACCCTTTTTCCATAAGTTCCAGAGATGACAACGCATATGCAAATCTATAATAGATGTAGATGTCTACGGTACGAGTACACTGGTTTTTTTGTACTTTTCTTTAAAAAAAATAATGATACTACAAACTCGCAGAAGTCGTTCATTCATTCATTACAGTCTATTAAAAGTCTACTGTTAAAAATAGGCTTCCACGTAGAATGAATTCCCCCATAGGAAGCTAAAGATAAAAATCAATATTGCATGCCTCTAGCGCGTAGGTATGTTATACTAACACCTAAAATCAAGAATGCGACTTTTTGCCGCATGAAATCGTATTTAACAATCTTTTTTGTCATAAAGATAAATTATTGTTGAACTTGTTTTTTTTTTAATTCGATTAATTGCTATTTTTACATTAATAAGGGGTTTTAGTGGCTTATGATGTAGATTTATCCGTCCGCATGGAGAGGAAAACACGATAACTTTTGAAAATGTCAATTGTTCAACTCAATCTATTTTTTAATCTATTCATCTATCATGTGGGAAGCCATGGAATGTAAATGGCTGTTTAATATTATTTTTCTTAATTTAAATTAATTTTTTTTCAGCTTCGAAAATCTGAAATTTCTTTTTTTCTTAATATATTTTACTAAATTCACATACATTTTGACTGACTGCGATTGCGGGCTCGGCCGACGTCGCGATTGAATTACGTTATCGTTTGTTTACAGCGGCTGAAAAATATCGATCGCTGTAGAAATACAAAATATAGCAAAAACTAAATTTGATACATACTTGACCAAGGTTAGATATTATTATTATTTTTATAATCACAGACTTTCATTACAATATAAAGTTTCACTAAAAGTACGTAGGATTTATATATTAATATACTTATGCGTCTTGGACTGTATAGAGTGACCTGAATGTGTACTTTCATGAATGCTAAATGAAAATACTAGTTATAATCAGATAAAAAACTTTTTGAAAACGAAATAAAGTTAATGGGAAAAAATTAAAAATTAAAGTAATATTAAAGTTGATTTCTGATTGTTTCAAGATCTGTTAAAAGTTTTTTCAATTAACAATTATAAAATTGTTTTTGAATCTCAATAATATTAAGATATTAAAATTTAAAAAAATATTTTCTATTGTTGATTGAGAATTTTTTTCTAAATTTTTTCACGATCTAATGAGCGTTATGAGTCGTCCACTTTTGAATTTTCAAAACTTTATTAATTTATTGAGATATGATATAAAATTATCGAAAAATTAGAAGTAAGAAGATTATTTGTGAAAACTTGTGTATATTTAAAATACTTTTAAAAAATTACATATAACGAGCGCATAAGGCATGCACATTTGGATTTATCAAAAGTTTTTGATATACTTTGACTTTGTTATACTAATTTATCATTATATTGGCTGCCTATTTGATATAAGTGATCTTAAACAAGACTGATGATCTGGAGTTTCCAGTAAAAAAAGACACCGGTTTTCTGAACTCACCATACTAAACACAGCAGCGTCAAATAGCAGCAGTAAAGCTGCTATTTGACGTGGTCTTTCACTGGTTGAGCCAAACCTGTCGTGCTACAACCATTTCGTTAGTCCATACATAAGAATATCCGTAAGCATTTCAGAATTAGAAATGTCTGGACTATTTATGGGAAAATCTACGTGAAGAACTCGGGAGGGCGAGCAAAGTTTTCCACGGAAGAGGAATTGAAAGATCCAACAGCCAAATACACCATGGATGGTTCCACTGAAAGTTCTTATATGGCCCTTAATACAAAGGTCACTCCAAGACAGCAGAGCTCTTCGAATTGACAACATGATGCAGCACGTCATACTCACACTTCAGTGGTAGCTCACTTTGACTGCGAAAAGAAATCCAGACTACTGCTTGGCAAGAAGTAATTCGTACATTGTGTTTTACTTTCTAATGCATTCTTGTTATTCTCATTATCATATTATTGTTTATATTCATCATTCATTGTATTTTTTCCTTCTCTTACATATTATTTTGTCTGGTAACAAAGTCACTATTTTTAGTTTTAAGTAATCTCATACTTCATAATCCAATAGTTTTATGTTGATTATTAACTAATTTCTATTGTATGAATTTAAGATTGTAGTAAACTTTAATTGTACTTGTAAACAAAAATTAGTTTCTGTTTGTAATTTTCATCATATAAAGTTTTCAAATTATTACCATAGACAAATAAATATGAAGCTAGTTTGTAACTGCAGTCAGTAGATTTTAGAGCTAGCCCGAGACAGAGTGGCAGAAACTATTGACCATTGACAATAATTTTTACTGTCAACATCGTAGACAGATAATGCTATAAACACCGGCAAAGCGTGTCGCAAAAAGATACAATTAAATACGTCACTATATTTAGGGTTAAAAGTGTGAGGAAAAATTTACTCCACAATTAATTATAAAATAAAAAATGAGTACGTAAAAGAAGCCTGAGAACCCTGAAAATAGGGACAGGGTGCTATCATATGGGCAACTTATGGCACCAGGATTTTCCCTCCATAAGGTCATGGCAGGAAAATCCTGGTGTATCATTCAATCTTAAACTTCCCAAATATCGATCTACTGTACTGTTCCTACGTAGTTTCAGAAGAAATAATATGGATAAGCTTATGAAAGACGCATCCCTTGCGGATTTTATGCCATTAGCAACTGCATCCACCGTACATGAGAGAGTAACCACGCTAGTCACGAAAATTAAGGGATATAAAAACGATTCTAAGTTTTCAGGTAATTATCAACAAGCTGTAACTACGAAGAAAATGACAATACAGCAAAATTTTATATGTGGTAGAGCCACGCTGCAGCTATATTATAGTTGTGGCACGAATGGGTCGGCTCGACCGGGGAAGGGTCACGCTCTTACAAAATACCAACGTAAAATGGCACCTTAATGCTGCTGTGTTACGTATGGTAAGTGTAAAGAACTGGATACCCGTTTTACTGGATTTGAGGCAAGTCCTAAGAGGTGACAACGCATCTGAATTTTGATTCCTAATTTTATCATATTGGTTCTGGATTGATCCTAAGGAAAGGACCGAAATAAAAATTCTCCAAATTTTTGCTCGTTTTATAACAGATTTACGGGCGTCATAAATTTCCTTTTCATTATTATTTCACAACAAATATCTTTTAGGAAATTTATTGCCTTGTAATTTGACGTAATCAAAAAACCTGTACGTTGGTTTTCCGCGAAGTTATCGTCAATTACAGGATAAAAGTTAATTTTAATTTGATAATCAATAACTGAAAACAATCATTGTATAGGAAATTAACGGAAGGATTCTGACTATTAATTTTTTGAAGCGATAACTTTAACTGATAAAAGATAAAAATTCACATATTAAAGTTATTTGGTTAACTTGATATATCATTGGACAAAATGGATGAACGAAGCATATCGTCGGTAATTTTTCAAATGTAAGGTATCTCGGAAAATCCATGAGAAATTCAATGTGCTGCAATTTTTTTATTAGTTCCACAAAGTTTCAAATTTGTCGTTTTCGCAAAAAATCAATAATAAAAAAAATTCGATTATTATATATTTCTACAATATTTTTTTCTGAACAATTTTTATTTTGCCGATCCAAAAGATGTATTTTATACTTTTTTAGAGCCCGTATATGACCAACAAAAATTTTGAATAACATAATTCAAGTTTTGTATAATAAACATGCTCCTGTACGTAGATTCAAATTGAAACGTCCAACAGCTCCCTGGATGACTGACGAAGTACGGAAGGCAATGAACAGATGAAATCTAGTGTTTGCCTTATTTAAGAGGAGGAGGTCTGAAGAAAAATGGTTATTTAAGATTGCCAGAAATAGATGCATTTAGATGTTACGTTCTGCAAAACGCCGATTTATCCATAGTAATATAAGTAATTCTTTGCCAGTGTGGAAATTTCTTAGTTCTTGAGGTGTGCGTAAAACACTTCTTTTGGATTATGGTTCATCTCTTTTTCACGTTGCTTTAAATCTTCATAAATTTCCTTATATTTCCTCAACACATTATAGAACTTTGAGTTCTTCGTAAAAAAATAAAATAAGTATCCAAATAAATTTTACTAAATTTGTTGGCAGAATTCTTAACCATCAGGCTGTACTGCACTAGAACTTCTTGCCCTATGACCTCATAAAAATATCTAATAAAACTGCCTTTAAGTGATTGGTACGTAAATACGGTCAATTTGCTTTATTGTATATTATATATATATATATCTATGTTATATTTGAATACTATCATATATATATATATATATATATATATATATATATATATATATTAGTAGAGGGGGACAACCTACACTTAGGTTGCCGGTACGAGGCCACAGAACATACGTAAAAACCATGAGCATAGCCCTCTCCATAACTCCCTGAGTGAATTTGAGCTTCCTTATAGGTCAGCAGTGAAGGATCTCGTCTCATATCCATAATTTATCACTGACAACACAAATTGGTTGTACTATTTAGTTTTGAGATTTTGATGTATACCTGAGGAGAACATGTGTCGTAATCTCCCGAACGCTGCCTAGCCGAGTTAAAACCGTCGCCTTCTCGGTCGAAGTTGGACTTAACTAGTCAGACTATTTATCCCAGGTACTCGTCAACAACTTCGAGTTTAGTGCTCCTAAAGACTACGAGTATAAGTGTGACAATGATAATCTTAGCCCTATTCGTTGGGAAACACTATTAAGATCATTAAGCATAGTGCTTAGGTCCTCCAGCGATTCTGCCATAAGAACTTCATCGTCGACGTAATACCGTATCTTTCCTAGTCCAGAATTGAAAAAATCTTCTAATACAGGGTGACTCATCGTACTCCGATTCTGTACTCGGATCTGCCATCGTAGCTCTACTGTACAAACACTTCAGTACTTCAATATACTGACAGTAAATTTGGCACTGCTGAAGGGACTCTAGCACCGTCCGGAATCAAAGGCCTTCTCATAGTCGACATACGCAAGTCAAAGTCAAAGCAGATTTTTATGTGATAGAGTCATGCTGCAGTTAATATAGTTGTAGCACGAATGTGTTATCTCGACCGGGGAGAGATCAAGCTCCCACAGAATACCAGCGTAAAATAGCAGCATATACGCTGATCTGTTTCGTTTGGTGAGTGTAGAGAACTTAAGACCTTTTTTACTGGACAAGAGGCATTTCAACTAAGTCCTGACGGTGAAAATGCATCTGCATTTTGATTCGTGATCGAGGATTCGATGATTCGAGATTCAACTGAACGTAAGTAGTTGCTGTGGTCTGTCGGCCGCAGCAACCATTTACCATCAGGAGATGATTCGTAATGACTCTCCCAAAGCGCACGAACCAATTACAGCAGAAATCAGTCTGTATTTCTTTAAGAGTTAAAACTTCTAAGTGAATTTAAGTTCTGAGGGAATTTAGGTTCCGCTTTAATTCCATCCTCACCCGAGGATTTGTTGTTTTTGAGGTTCTAGGGAACCATTCTAATCTCGCTCAGACTAACTTCCGGGTAGGCATAACGTCAGATAAAACTTGCTCTCGGATTGGTACTAACAATTCCGTTTACCTCCAATGATGACGTGTACAGCTGCCCACAGAACCTCTTAATCCCACTCTAAATCTCAGGCGTCCCAGAAACGTTGCTGTCACATTCAGTCTATAGCTGTGATGGTTGCCTCTTTCTGGCAGACAGATCTCCGGCTAAGACTTTAGAGTTCTGGTTGCGCTCGATCGCATCTTCAATTCGAGCTGTATTAAAGTTGCGTAAGTTTCGCCGCATACATTTGGAGATCTGTCTATTTGCATATATACTGTCAAATGTTGAAGACTGCAGCTTCATCTCCCTTCTAACAGCCATGAGATTAAGTGTGAGATCGGAGAGTTTTTATTTTCTTCACCGAAGGGTCTAACAGAACTTAGCTCCGACCGCATGGAGAGTTTCCACAAGCGTTTACATTAAAAACGATTTTGTAAATCAAACTAAGTTTTGTGGGCTTTGGATCACAACACGATGGAGGGGCGAAGTGTTGACTTCATTAGACGTGACTTTTCCAACTTCACGTTAAGGTTCAGTTTGCCTCTCACCATTCGGTGATCGCTGCCTAAGTATAGCAGCTATTCAGCGAGGAAACGCACCCAGCGTTCTTTTTTACGGTACCACTGGTACGGTACGATTATTTATGTTTTTAGTTTTATTTAATTATGCTTTTTTAATTAATACGAATAAATAAAATTTCTAAATGCATATGGAAGAACATACTTATATAAAAAAATATTTATGTTTTTTGTACTCCTTTTTGCTTCGATGCTGCTTGATGAACTTAGGTACATTTTAATAAATGGAATAGGGTACTTTGCAAAAAAATTAAAACCCGTGAAAATGATTCACTTGAACCAAATGAGATTCAACTAGTAAAGTATAATAATAAATTTCTAAAAATTATTCTATGCGAGCGAAGTTGCGGGCAGAGCTAGTATTGTATATATTTTAATGTTATGTGCATAAAAAAGAACAATATTAGTATCCAAAATATATTTTGAACTAATAAGACGCACTTGCAATCAACAATTTCATTAGTGCTGGTGGTGTCGCAATCGACTCGCGTACTATGATATTTTAAGCACTTATGAAAACTACGCTAGTGAGGCTTTTGAGCAAAGAAAGTTGATGTGAATGCTTTCAAAATAAATTACTCTCTTTATTTCGACAATTTTTCTAAGATTAATCGTGTTACTGAAATTATCTGATGTAAATCCGTACCTTAATTTTGATTGTATTTGTAAGATGTTATATCCAACAGAAAACATCTTCAGTTTCATCAATCAAATTTGATCAGATGGGCATCGTTATCAAGGTGTAATTTTAAAAACATATGTAAATTTAAAAAAACCCGAAAAGATACTATTTGATTCCTGGTTTTTGTGTATTAATTCACCATTTTCAAAATGGGTTATTTGATACCGTAGCCAATTAAAACACATTTTAGAGTTGCTAAAACAAACATTTCTTAAGAAATTATATGAGAAAAATTGGGTGTAGTAAAAGGTGCTCTAGTAAAACAAACCAGGAGGTAGGCAACAATGTCTTCATAATAAGAACTAATAGAAAACACTGCGGTCGCACAACCTGCGTGTAAAGAATGGCAACTATAGTGAACATCCTCCCAATAAACCATTTTATGAAAACTTTGAATAATCTGTAAGAGATTTAAAAAGTGATGTCATGGTTTTTATGGTCAACTAATCATCTATTTTATTTATTTTTAAAAACTGAAAATCTAATTATCTTATCTTACTTTATCTTAAATTGGATAATCATCGATATTAGAATCAAAATTTAAGACAGTAAAAATTAACAAAAACAAATATTTGAATTAGTTATTAACTGATGTTGTTTTGAGGTAGTCAAGTAAACAACAAAAAAATATAAATAAAAATAAATAAAATAATTTAGGAATGATATTTCGTGGTTGTTGGTTGCTCACGGATCGGTAAATAAACATTTTTCATTCATTTTTCACTTAATGTAAACTCATTAGTCACGTAGGCAATAAAAGTGTTACCGATTTAACCGAGATATTTTTTTTCTGAATAAAGGATCGTATTTTTGTGACGCAAAGATAAGTTACGGTGAAAAAATTAATTCCATTACCTCATCGTTATGAGTCCATCTAATGGCAGGTGGTGGCTCGGGGGAGTGCTGCACCACGCACGTTAAGTTAATGGTGCTTCCCATGTTGATGAATAGTTCAGGTCCTCCCAGAATTGTCGTGAGTGGTTCTGATTTCAAATAAATAAGCTATATTATTTTCGAGTAGTATTTTCTTTGAGGTGAGACAGTTTTCAAAGCAATTTTTTCACAAAATAAGATCGGATCGTTAAACTTAAGTGGCAATTGACCGATCATAACGATAGCATGAAGAAATATCAACCTATGCGGAAGAAAATAGGGCGGCCCTCCATAGGTGGAGTGATGACCCGGTGAGGTCTACGATTAGCGGTGAACTTGTGAAGGACTGTAATGATGATGAAGGTTGTAAAAACTTCCACTTGACCGCATACAGCGCAGAGCGCCTCGAATCGTCGACGACCGAGTGCTTTCCGATCGGCTTGATTCACTGGCACTGCGAAGAGATGTTGCATCTCTTTGCATTTCATTTCGCATATACCATGGAGAGTGCTCTGAAGAATTGTTCGGATTAATCCCAGCCGCCAAATTTCGTGAACGCACTACGCGGCAAACGTACCGATACCATCCACACCATCTGGATGCTTGGCGGTCCACCACTGTACGTTTCAAGAGGAGTTTTCTTCCGCGTGCAACCTCTCTGTGGAATAGTTTACCACCGGCGATTTTTCCGGACCGATACGACCTGGGGACCTTCAAGAAAAGAGCTTACTCCTTTCTAAAGGGCCGGCAACGCACCTGCAATTCCCCTGGTGTTGCGGTTGATCATGGGCGGCGGTAATCACTTAACATCAGGTGAGCCGCATGCTCGTTTGCCCCCTCTTCTATAAAAAAAATATATTTTTAACTAGAAATAATTAAAGATAAAAATTAAAGTTGAATTAGTATTACCGTAAATAGAGATGCTTACACCTTAACATAGGCTTTTGTTTCTGTTTTACTATTAAAGCTCTAGCTTACTGTATAATACTCGATGTATTCGTGTCTATGATTCCTGACAATTTACATAATCATTAATTCCAAGAATCGAAATAATTTAATTGTACATTAAATATTTTAGCTTCGTCCTTAATTTTGCACTTATTGTATAAGATACGCGTCCACATACTCGCATCGTACGCATCGAATGGATCGTATCAAACGGTAGAAGTCATACGGATATCGTATTGTCACTTAAGTTTATCAGTGGGCGCTGGACGCACTTTCGCCGGCCGGTGATATGCTATTATATCCGTATGATATTCACCAGAGGGAAACTGAAATAGGAGATGCGAGCAGAATCCTCCTAAAATAATAAAAAATAATAAAAAAGCCAACTATGAGGCAATCTATAGAGGAGGCCTATGTTCGATAGTGTACTTATATATGCTCTGATGGATGGATAATATTCTCCATGTTTTGATCTCTTTAATATTATGTGATGTATCCACATAATATTGTTTGCTTTTTTCCTATTTCGCTACTTTTGCTAACAAACAGCCTATGGACGCATAAGTGTGATTACATAATTTTAAAAGTATTCCTCTTAAGTAAACGAAGATACCTTTTCCACAAAGTGTAAATACTTTTTGCATGCTCTTTCTAAAGCGTCAATGTAACAAGCACGTTTTTAATGAATTTTTGTTCAGTTGCCAAATTTCAAAAAGCTTGCTTTGGAAACTAAACACATACCAACGTTAGTAAATTCAAGTCTTTCGTTAAGGTATTATAAAGCAATTTACCGACGACAGAGAGGTACATGCGGTGGCCGATGGGTGGCGTTGTCCCCACTTGGCACTCGTAGATACCGGAGTCACGCCGCTGTGGGAACCTTATCTGGACAATAAACATTCTGCATTTTAGTAATGGTTAGCGACCTACTTTAGGTACGTTTATGTGCCAAGTAATTTGAATTTGGTTAAGTCATTGGGCTTGATACCAAACATACAGATAAAACAATGTTATAGTAGGAATAAATAGAAAAATAAATGTGGAAAGGAACAATGTTACAAAGAATGTTTTCGAACATTAAAATGAACAAAAAAAGACTGATTTAATTTTTTTTATTAAAGGATGCTTTAGAATTACATTATTTTATTAAATAGCCTCTATAAACAATTACTTTAAAGCAGTTCATTAGGATCAATAGGCAATGGCCAAATAAGTTTTGTTAAAGGCCGAAATTGACGCCATAATACGAAGTTTTTGTTAATTTAAAGGTAATATATGTTATGGAAATGTATATTGTATAATATTATATATTTCAACATAATATATTTGATAGCCTATTACTATTGTTAAATGAACAAATAAGGCGCAAATCTGTCAAGCTCCAATCAAGAATACTCATTATTCATATATATACGAGTAAGTAATTAACAGCATTACAGGCTTGTATAGTCCGATAATCTGCGTGGGTTCATGATACTAGCTGCACTAAAAGTATCGGGAATGGAATATTTCCACTGTTCCTGTCATATTTAAATATTTTTTAATTGAAAACTCCTTGGTTTTAAAAATCGAATACCATTAATTTATTTAAAAAAAATTCTAGGTCTTGTCACAAGGTTTTGTCAAACTTGTTTAGTCGTTCGAGAATTCAGAGCGATGGTTTATTATGACTTTCGATGTGGTTTAACACAAAAACAGTATGTTCACCGGATGATTTCTGCATTTGGTGATGAAGCCCCATCCAAAACCACAATTTATCGCTGGTTTGCTGAATTTCGACGTGAACGATATGTCAAGCTCAGTGATGATCCCCGTCAAGGTCGTCCAAAAACTGCAGTCACCCAAGAAAACGTTGATGCTGTGCGTAAGCTGATTGAGGAAGATCAACATGTGACATACCGCGAAATTCAGGCAACTTTAGACATTGGCATGAGTCAAATACAAATAATTTTTCATGCACAATTAGGTGTAAAAAAAGTTGTTTTCCCGATGGATACCGCATTTGCTCTGTGAAGAGCAAAAAGCAACTCGCGTTACTTGGTGCGTCAGAACTCTCGAAAAATTCCACGCAGGATCCTTAAATGCTGTATACAAAATCGTATTAGGTGACGAATCCTGGATATATGCGTACCCGAAACAAAAAACCATTCACGAGTGTGGGTGTCCGAAACTGAGTTGAAGCCAACAAAAATTGGTCGTTCACGGAGTGTTGCAAAAAAAATGGTGGCCACGTTTGTCTCCAAAACCGGTCATGTTACGACTATTCCTCTTGAGGGACAAAGAACGGTTAATGCAAAATGGTATGCTAGCATTTGTTTGCCACAGGTCGTTTCTGAACTCCGTAAAGAGAACTGCAACCGCCGCATCATCCTCCATCACGACAATGCGAGTTTTCATACCACACAGAGAACAAAAGAGTTTTTAGAGCAAGAAAACATAGAATTATTAGACCATCCGCCGTACAGCCCCGACCTAAACCCTAATGATTTCTATACTTTCCCTAAAATAAAGAATAAATTGCGTGGACAGAGATTTTCATCACCTGAAGAAGCTGTGGACGCCTACAAAACGGCCATTTTGGAGACCCCAACTTCCGACTGGAATGGTTGCTTCAATGATTGGTTCCATCGTATGGAATAATGTGTCAAATTTCGCGGAGAATACTTCGAAAAACAATAAATACATTTTTAAATAGTAATGTTGTGTCACTTCCTTGATTCCCGAAATTTTTAGTGCTCGTACGATGCCATTTTATTTTCATTGATTTGTCCAATAAACAAACTGTGACTTCTGTTGATATATTAAAAACACGAAAGCAAGTATCCAGCAACTTAAGGTTATGACGTGGGTCACCTCGAAGCTACGCACATATAAATTTTATATAAATTAGGCGCAAAGTGCTTTATATAAAATAATCTAAAAAACGTTTGATCATCCATGAGGTCATCTCTGAAACTTCCCGCTATGTTAGATTAAGACGCTCGACAAATACAATTTGAAAGATCTAATTTGTATTTCATTTCTTGTACCTCAAAAATATATTTAGATAAGAAGCCCTCTACTGGCAGTGAGATGTTAGCTGTGGACTTTGGGCTGGTTTTGTCAGTTATGATAAGACCTTACCTCTGGACTTGATGGAGTGACTTGAAGGTTAAATTAGGTGACTAATGCTGCAGCTCCTCGACGAGTAGAACTAAGTGCGCCGAGTTTGGGATCGTTTTGTTAGTTGTGATGACACCTTACCTCCGGTCCTGATGAAGTGACCTGAAGGTGTACTTTGGTGGCTGCTACTGAAACTCGTCAAGGAACTATGTGTGCCGAGTTTGGGCTCGTTTTGTTAGTTGTGATGACACCTTACCTCCAGACTTGATGGAGTGACCTAAAGGTGTACTTTTTTGCTCGCTATTGGAACTCGTCACCGAGTAGACCTATGTGTGGTGAGTTTGGGCTCGTTTTGATAAGTCCTTACCTCCGGACTTGGAGTAATCTGAAAGCGTACTTTGTTGACCGCTATTAGAACGCATCACTCAGTAGAACTAGGTGTGCTGAGTTTGGGCTCATTTTGTTAGTTATGATGAGTCCTTACCATCGGACTTGATGGTGTGACCTGGAGATGTGTTTTTTTGATCACTATTGGAACTCACCACCAAGCAAAACTAGGTCTGCTGAGTTTGAGCTCGTTTAGTTAGTTATGATGAGTCTCTGGCCGGTGGTAGGAAAAGGGGAGATCTCCCGCCGGGCAAGGTGTTCTGCTCGGGGAGCGGGCAACACTCCGTGTGTTCGGACCGTGATAGTTCGGAGATGTTCTATATATACTGTTTATGATTCGGAATATTGATAGCGTGATTTAGGCTTCGGTGTGTTTCGCTTGCGGCGCGACGACAGCGCCGCTACATTACCCCCCTGCTCAGACCGGAGGTCGTTAGTGCAGCCTCGTTTCCGACGAATGTGCAAATGCCAGTTGATTGCCTTGTAGTCTGCGGTGAGTCGAGAAGAAGGCAAGTAATCTGCGAGAGTGCCGTGAAGCAGAGGCGAGTAGTAAGGCTCAGAGTCATGCTGAGCACTGTATAGCGCAGAGAGTAGCTTGAAGGAACAGGAAGAATTATTATTCCAGTGCTGCGATGAACCTTGTGAAGCTAGATGGCTTGCAGGATATGAAGACTGCAGACGATATATGCTCGGGAGTGAATGGGTGGGGTATTTTTATGACGATGATGAAGCTTGAAGTTTCAGAAAGTTGTTGGTTGCGTGTTCAGATTACGTCGGGTGGTCACCACTGTAATAGTGGGGATAAGCGGTCCACTATTAACTGACTCCGAGTGGTCTAGTGGCGGAGAAATGAAACTACTATTTTATGTACAGCCGAATGGAGAATGGAATGTGGAGTATTGAATGTGAATGAATGAAATGATGTAGCGAAATGATGTAGCGGCGCTGTCGTCGCGCCGCAAGCGAAACACACCGAAGCCTAAATCACGCTATCAATATTCCGAATCATTAACAATATATATAGAACATCTCAGAACTATCCAACGGAGTGTTGGCCGCTCCCCGGGCAGAACACCTTGCCCGGCGGGAGATCTCCCCTTTTCCTACCACCGGCCAGAGTGGTGACCAACCGACGTGATCTGAACACGCAACCAAACAACCTTCGAAAACTTCAAGCTTCATCATCGTAATAAAATACCCCCGAGCAGATATCGTCTGCAGTCTTCATATCCTGCATGCCATCTAGCTTCCCAAGGTTCCTCGCAGCACTGGAATAATAATGCTTCCTGTTCCTTCAAGCTTCTCTCTGCGCTCTACAGTGTTCGGCACGGCTCTGAGCCTTACTACTCGCCTTTGCTTCAACGCACTCTCGCAGATTACTTGCCTTCTTCTCGACTCACCGCAGACTACAAGGCAATCTCCTGGCACTTGCACATTCGTCGACAATGAGACTGCACTATCGACCTCCGGTCTGAGCAGGGGTTTGATGTGGCGGCGCTGTCGTCGCGCCACAAGCGAAAACACACCGAAACCTAAATCGTGCTATCAACATTCCGAATCATAAACAGTATATATAGAACATCTCCGAACTATCACCTGGAGTGTTGGCCGCTCCCCGGGTAGAACACCTTGCCCGGCGGTACATCTCCCCTTTTCCTTCCACCGCCACAAGTCCTTACCTTCGAAATTGATGGAGTGAGCTGAAGGTGTATTTTGTTGACCGCTATTGAAACTACTTATGATGAGTCCTTACCTCCGGACTTGATGAATTGACCTGAAAGTGTACTTTGTTGATCGCTATTGGAATGCGTCACCAAGTAGAACTAGGTGTGCTGAGTTTGGGCTCGTTTTGTTAGTTATGATGAGTCCTTACCTTCGAAATTGATGGAGTGACCTGAAGGTGTACTTTGTTGACTGCTATTGAAACTAGGTATGGCGAGCTTAGGTTCGTTTTATTAGTTATAATGAATCCTTACCTCCGGACTTGATGAAGTGACCTGAAAGTGTACTTTATTGATCGCTATTGGAACGCGTCACCAACTATAACTAGATGTGCCGAGTTTGGGTTCGTTTTGCTAGTTATTATGAGACCTTACATCTGGTCTTTATGAAGTGACTTGCAATAAGGGCTTTATTGCAATATATTATGATTTATCCGTATTAGCAAAATATGTGACTATTTGTGACATTTTTACAAAGTAAACACTAGTTTTTATTGAATAAGTCTGCTTACTTCCAATATTTGTAGAAATTTTAAAATGTGTAGTAGACCGAAAATGGTTAGAGGACCAAAAATGTACCGAAACTCGAGCTGGTATCTTTAATTTTGTAGAAAATGGCAACGGAAGTTCGTAACAGTACAAAAAAAACTAGAATTGTCAACAAAAAGTCATTGCCATTTGCAGATGAAGAACTAATCTATCTAAAAAGTATTCGTAGTTTTTAGTTATATTTGATTTGATTTAGTTTTGTCACAGAATGTACCCAAAAACGGCATAATTTTGCTCGATTTGCAAACGCGTCTTTAAATTATTACATCAAAAACAATCCGAGCAGTAATTTAGAAGTTAGCCAAAAACCCACTTTTAAATTTTATTGACAATGATAACTTTCACATAATCGATAACTAATGCAAATCGATTACTAACACACACACACACACACACATACGCGCACACGCACACGCACACGCACACGCACACGCACACGCACACGCACACGCACACGCACACGCACACGCACACGCACACGCACACGCACACGCACACGCACACGCACACGCACACGCACACGCACAAGCACACGCACACGCACGAGCACACACACACACACACACACACACACACACACACACACACACACACACGCCTCGCACACTCGCGCACACGCACGTACACGCACACACACGCGCGTGCGCACGCTATTTTTAAAAAATGTGCGTTTAATTGTGTACACACATACGAATTGAAGCTTTTTTTATGACAAAGTAGGTTAAATAGTACCATACTCATACAGCTTCCGCTGTAAATGGTTACAAGTAAACTTCACTAGAAAACGTGACGTTTTTTAATAACGTACTAAATTTCTCCTCTACGTCAATAAAGAAGTTTCATTTCAATATATTATTTGATTGTATTGAAAATAAAACCTTTGTATACCCTCCCCCATCAGTTATGTTGTAACCAACATAAGGCATATACGCTTTGGGTGTAGAGCTACATCATGATATAGATACTTTCTGGCCTTCGCAATAAGCAACTTTTATGATTCTTAGGAGATAAGCATTTACTTAGCAAAATCTCCTTATGAGGCAATCCAAGGGGAGGCCTTGTTTCAGCAGTAGAATTTTAGAGGCTGTAATAGATTGAAGGATGAATGGAAAATAATAAAAAAGAAACTCACTTTTAATATCCAATCCTCAGTGTGTGGATTATGGACGCTGATAAACCTCTGATCTGAGGTATATGTCATACGGCCTGATGTAAGTAAATGTATATCGCGATGTCGTATCCAAGATACCTGCGATAAAAGATTCAGAATTTGTCATAGCCACAAGAGACACGGGGATGAGTGAAGAAATTGTCAACGGCATATTTGCACTATTAGAGCTGCTTCGTTGGTTTAGTAGTCGTAAGCGTGACCTCTGATCATGTAGTCTAGGGTTCGAATCGCGAGGATTAATTATTAGACTAAAGGCATACACGAGCATAATCTTTCTGGCATTTTCAATAGTCGCCTTTTAGAACATCAAAAGATCAAAATACTGCGATGGATTCTCTTACTACGCTGCCTCGACACCACATAGTAATACAGGTACATTATTTTTGTATAAGTATGAATAGTTCTCACCGTTCTGTTTCCAAGATCATGAACTCTACAGTTTAATTGAGCAGTCTTTCCCACTAAAGCAGTTACGTTTTTGGAGTAAGCCAAATCAAAATGTGGACCTCGTTGCGCAAGTCCCAAATCTACATCTGGATAATCCATTTCTCCAACACCATTCATGCTTGCTCCATTTGTATTGCCAGTACAGCCTGTTAAGGAAAATGAAACTTTACTAATCTTATAATATTTAAATACCTGAAAAACTATTTATTTTTACAATTCTGTTAATAATACACATTGAACAATAACTAGGTAATTTATAATATTTTATATTGTATACTAAATGGTTGATTGCACCACGACTGAATCTTTTCCTTTTAAACCACCTAGTAAACAGTCAATAACAATAAAATTTCGCAAATCCTACCGACAATGGTTTGCTTGGTTATTGAAATTAAAGAACATCTGCAGAAAATGGGTGCAACTATCTTCTATATATATATATATATACAGTCTTATATATACAATATATATAATATATATATATATATATATATATATATATATATATATATATATATATATATATATATATATATATATATATATATATATATATATAGTCTGTTTGCAAATAATATGGTTTTATAAAATCAAATGCCTTCTGTTCTTTTTCACTCCATAGGAACTTACATTCCTTTTTTAGTAAATCATATATAGCTATTATGCTCGCACTATAACTTGGAATGAACCTTGTATAAAAGTTGCAAACACTTAAAAATGCGCTCAATTGCTAAATCTTTTGGGTGCTGGAAACTCTTGAATTGCAAATTATATATATATATATATATATATATATATATATATATATATATATATATATATGTATATATATATATATATATATATATATATATATATATATATATATTTTCGGTTTTTATTTTATCATCATCGTAATCATTACAGCCCTTCACAAGTCCACTGCTGAACATAGCCCCCCCCCCCCAAGCAATGCCACAAAGCACGGTCCTGAGCCACCTGCATAATTCGACTTCCTGCATGTCTTACCAGGTCGTGACTCTAGCTAGTATGGGTCGCCCTACTTTACGCCTACCGCTACGAAGCTGCCACTCGAAAACTTTTATCTCCATCGGTTATCTGTTCTTCAAGCTCTATGACAGGCCCATTGCCACTTCAGCTCACAAATCTGTTGGGCTATGTCGGTCACTCTGGTTCTACTGCCGATATCCTCATTTCTAGTTTATGACGCAGAGAAACTCCGAGCATGGCCATCTTCATAGCTCGCTGAGCGACCTTGAGCGTCCTCATATGACCAGCAGTGAAGGTCCACGTCTCAGTTCCCTAGGTTATTACTGGCAACACGCGATGGTTGTGCAATCTAGTTTTCAGAGTTTGAGGTATACCTGACGTGAAGATGTGTCGTAATTTCCCGAACGCTGCCCAGCCGAGTTGAATTCGTTGATTGACCTCTCGGCTAAAGTTGAACTTACCTGGTCGGACTATTTGTACCAGGTAAACGTACTCGTCAACAACTTTGAGTATAGTGCTACCAACAACCACCGACATAGGTGTGACATGGACATTAAACATGATCTTAGTTTTTTCCATGTCCATGTCGTCGACATTCACCATCGAACATTGACTTGAATTCGACAGTGAGAAGGCTCGTGGTTTGTTCTTTCAAGTATTGTGTTCTCATGATGCGTGTGTTTTGTAATTAGTTAGCGTGATAGACAGAATGTAATGTATGAAGAATTGGAAGGATTTGATTTAATTATTGAATTGATCTTAAAACCTGGGTAAAATGAGGTGTTTAACCGAAAGCTATTCAAGTTATAAATATTCTCTCATTCTTGCAGAGTATATTGCAAGTGGGTGCGGCAATTTTTTATTTGAAGGATGATTGCAGCCGCTAAGGCATTAATAACAAATAATAATAATGACTACCAATAAAAGAGAATTACGCGAAAAAAATCGATTTAATTTAAATCGATTCTACAAACGTGCGAATTTCTCGTGGAAGTTAATGAACTACTAATTGTATCTTCGAGTGTAGCAAGATGTTATATAATAATGATCTGACTTTACTTCAAGAAGTCGGTTTATTGAATACATATTTATTGAAGCGATAGCCTTTTGATTTTTTGATCACATAAGTTTGAGAATCCTATTTAGCAAGAATCTCCATACATTTCTTGTAATATTTATAGAAGTCACCCAATATATAGAAAATAATTCAGGTCACGTGTCCCGACCCCAACACAATGTTGGTTGCAATAAATAATAGTCAACCACAAAATGGAGCGAGTTTAATATTAAACATTGTGGCGTTTACTAAGCGGCTACTTTTGTCTCCTTCGAGTATTATGGACGCTATTCAAGGCAAAGACAGGCATTGTACGCTCCACTGAGTTACGGGCGTAATATATCCAGCTATTATACTGCGATCCATTTCTATACTTGCTTTCACTTTAACCATTTGTACAAATGAAACTTCACAGAAGTAAGGCAAAGTTCAATGGTGTAAAATCAAGAGCATTTCGTGCATTACATTTTTAAATATATTGTGAATGAAGAGTTTAATTAAATTAATTCATTGAGAAAATGTATTCATTTATTGAACAATTTATGTACACACAAAGCATTGTGTACGAACAAAGTTATGTAATATTCGAATAAATATTAGAAATAATTGTCACGTTGAGTGTTAGCTCCTTTATGTCCAGAAAATCTCCACAAATATATCGCTAGTATGGAATTTTAAATTGCTCGGATCAGACGCAACGTTTTTTTACAGAATCTTTGATTGATTATAGCCTAGTGGATGCTGTGGAACACAGACACCTACATCTATCATATATTTGGTGAGGAAAGTTCTCTAATAGATGAAGTGACGACTTAATGAGAGATGCAGGAAATCAACGGTTGCGATTGGCTCAGGCTGTGGTTTGTAGTACTCATTTTGGGTGGCCTATGTTGTTCGACAGAGGAATGGTTATGATGATAATGTGAATCTACCACGTAGGAGACTTACAAGTAAAAAACTAATTTATTAATAATCTAATAATTGAACGTGATAGAATCCTAAAAAAATTAGTATTTCCAATAATAAACGTAGGTATAATGTATACACCTGCTAAGGTTCAAACTCAGAATCTACAACGCAGAACTACCTTATCTGAATACTAAGACGTAGTTGTTGACAACGAAGCTCTAACAAAGGATCCTTATTATATTACAAATACTTTCAAACTCTATTAAAATTTATCGAAAACCTGAAAGTTCATATTTTGCTTTGGCCGGATATTGCCTGCGGCTAGGGATCAAATAATCAAACCGAATCAGACCGTTCAGTACTCAGGTACCCAAACCGCTACGTGATTATTTTTTAAAGTTTATGCTTTAATTCTAAATAGTAATACAAATACCACCGTTTTTATATTTTTGTAAAAAAATGTAAAGGGTAAATGTCACTTAATTATTATTGTTTGAATAATATTGCTGTCGAGATAATCTCTGCTCAAGTTGACATGATAAATGACTTTTCGTTCTGTATTTGGAAGTAAAAAATAAAATTAATACTCGTAAAAGATAATTGTAACACATTTTTTTATTATTGAAATAATATGACTGCCGAGATATTTTCCAACTTTAATAAATATTAATTATTCGATCCTAAAATATTGTATTTATCATTTAAAATGCAACTTTTAGTATTTTTAAATAACACTGTCGAGATAAACTGCATCAAAGTACAAAATTGAAAGTCTCAAACATATATATTTATTAAATATGCAAACATTTTATCAATTTGAATGAAGTAGCAAGAACAGGTAAATATTATTTGAAAAAAAAATATTTAAATTGGAATGGATACGAAACAAAACCTTAAGAAAATACGAAAAATCTCTAACTATCGTGTTACAAGCGAAATGTCTTAAAATTGATTGTTATAAAATTCTTCTACCACTTGCAATTAGATAGTAACTTTCTTGCATTCGATAGCAAAACACTTTATATTTACGTGGTGGAGCCACTCTGCAGCTATATTATTATTGTAGCACGAATGGGTCGTCTCAAACAGGGTAGAATAACGCTCTCACAGAATACCTGCGTAAAATAACAGCTTAATGTTGCTGTGCTTCGTACGGTGAGTATAGAGAATTGGAGACCCATACTACTGGAAACGATGCATTTCATCTTAGTTCTAAGAAGTGATAACGCATCTGCATTTTGATTCTTAAAGTTGCAGCCTATATACATTTATTACATACAATTTTATTGGTGCAGGCGGGGATCGAACCCGGTTTGCTCGCATACTGTGACATTTACAACGAGCGCCTATCTGAGCTACCACAGCTTTTGATTCCTAATCGAGGATAAATGTAGATGTCAATGGGCCACAGTATCCACTTACCATCAGATGGACTATATTCTCGATTGTCACGCTAATCCTATAAAATAAAAACTTTTTTATAATATGGGCATATCGACCAGTACATAAAATATTTACTGTACATCGACCAAGAATATACGTGATAGAGCAGCTATATTTTAGTTTTAGAACGAGGACCACGCTCTTGCGGAACACCGGCGTAAAATAGCAGTATAATGCTGCTGTCTCGTATAGTGTGTGTAGAGACTGGACACCTTTTATAACCGGAAACGAGGCATTCCATATTAGTCTTCAATAGTAATAATGACATAACAGAATATCAGCATAAAATAGCAGCCTATTGCTTCAAGGAACTCATCAAAAAGGTAGTTAAACCTTTATTTATGTCGTTCAAAACTAGCCCTTACAGGGTTTATTGTAAGCCTAAGCCTAAAATAAAAATTTTATTCATTAGCAAGTTTTAATTTGTTTCCAATACGCTAAGAAAGATCTTGTTTCTTTTATTTCAAAACTTAGAGGCGTATAATGTTGCCTGTTCACGATCACTATTAAAACTTTGGTAATAACTCATCGTAGTTTCACCTGTACGGCTCACTAGGGTGAGAATCCCCATCGCCCCAAATAGGAAAGCCATGATCACGGCTAAGCTACGTGACCGTTCATAACACCACTTTACCGCACCGATTCACCCTTTACTCGACCATCTGAAATGAAAAATAGCACGTGTTAACATGTCAGTGGTAAAAATTTGCGAATATTATGCAGCATAGTGATCAAGACATGTTATGTAGAAATTTTGCTACAATTTATTTGCATTACATTATGTTAATATTGGTTGAATTAAAGAAAATATTAAAAGGTTAAAGTAATCAGTGGATTAATATAAGAAATCAGTTAAATTTAATAAGACGCATTAAATAGTTAAATAGATTGTCATCGTAAAATTACTATCCATCAAACCTCTAATATTATAATAGATCATCATCATCACAATCATCATAATAACAATCATCGTTACAACTTGTGAAAGGTTGTAACGATGATTGTCCACCACTAATAATAAGAGATACTATTTAAACTCCTTGTTTCATTCGAAACATTTCATATTATTGAGTTGTTTATATTACGTCACAATATCAAAAAAGGAGGACCATAATCTTAAAGATAATCTGGAAACACGAAGAAAAGTTATGTAACTAAAGCCGATAAATACAGAAAGTTATGTATTATATAAATATAAAATTCAGGCCTTTATCAAGCCTGCTCTCATATGGAATATAGAAAATATTACTTTGAAATCCCTACTACTGTGTCACGTAATTAAAACAGTTTAAGGTATTGGTTAAAAGCAATGGGGGTGTTATTTAGTACTAAATAATACAAACTACTGTATAATTTATAGATTTCTTAATATATTTAATTTTAAATTTCATTAATTTTAAAATCAAAAGTTTATTATAGATTTATTTAAGTGTCGGAATCTTAAGTCAACTCAATTTAGTGTTTTTTAAACCAGATTTTACCAAAAATGGATCTGATGTAAAACGCAGACGCTCCCGGTTGTTTGAAGCCTATGACCATAATCGACGACTATTCCACGTCCCCGCCAATACATCAAATTTTGCCACAAAACCTCGCAAATGAACGTTGATTTCAACCGTGGCATATACGCGAGGCTACTGAACTAAAAAATTCTTTGCTTTAATGGCGGTAATAAAATTAAAAAATTATACTTAAAATAAATGCTAACACCATTTTAATTCCTTTATATGCAGGGAGTTATTTTGTGTAGGTCACGTTATAATTTTCATTAAAATCTTAAGGTAGCCTGGAACACAACTGTACTACTCGAAACTTTATGAATTAAAAATAATCTAAACTAAAATGAATTATATGTACTTGTATTCTAAGATGTTCTTACACCGCCTGTCTAAGAAAATCTACTATCCTAAGATGAAAGCCAAATCCCCTTTTTTTTTTTTTTTTTTTTTTTTTTTTTTTTTGCGGATGGAAAATCATCTAATGACCCCTTTCGCTCTGGGTGGAGCGTAAGGGAGTGTCAGACTTTTTACTGACTAAAAACCATCCGTGTTCCTTCAGTGCCCTTACGTTCCGGAGCCGCGGTATCTCTTTCGAATAGCCCGCAGCCCCGGCAGGCGTCGGCCCTTGCGGGCCCCATCACGCTGCTGACAGCTCTTTGAGGCGCGCGTGGAACAAAACGCGCCGTCGACACGGCCTGTCGTCGTTAGACGGACGGACGACGAGCTACCCATTGCTCGCCGTCCACAGGCAAGCCAAATCCCCTAAATGAGGGATTTCGCCTATAGGAACAACTTATGTCGGAGGCCTATGTTCAGCAGTAGACTTTTATATTCAATAATGGATGAATTTGTACTAAGACAAAAACAATAAAATACATAAAAACTGCTTTATTTATAACTTAAGTTAAGCTATTTATAAGTATTCCCGTAAATAAAAGAACTATTACAGGTTTGAGTACATTGCAGGAAAAGTTTAAAATTAAAAGTTGAAACGTCCTTTGATGTCTCGAACGAAGTCATCTCTACAAAAGCTACGTCTTCCGCCTATCCCTGCTAGTAAAAGACTTTTCATCACAGGAGTAGTTTACATTTCTCCTCCCTTATCCGTATTCTAAAGACAGTTGTTATATTACGAGCTTAAAGTAAATGTATGCATACTTTATGTTATTATGAATTTAGGTCACGCACACACGTAATAATAATTACATACTTCATAATATTTTATTCATAAACAGTTACAACTTTTTGAAGTTAAAATATACTGAGTATGAGTAAATAAAAAAATAAGTACTTATCGGATTATTGCATCGACAAAATATAAAATCAATGTAAGTGGGAGCTTAATGTTAGTAACTAAACATAAGTGGTAATTACAGGTAAAATGTTAGCCCAGTTTTATAGTCTCTTAACATAATTTGACCAGTTCAATCCCTGTCAGCACCCATCGGCACTAATGAAATTTCATTTGCAATTTTCTATTCTGTGCATGCTGAAAACATCAAACTGTCAAGGTATGTCAAAATATCAATTTTATTTAAATTTTATATAAAATATAGTGCCTTCTTAATCCTATACATTTAAACGAGCAATTCTTGTATATACATGTCGATTATCATAAATTTTTTTGTCCAGGGAGTTTCGAGGGCAATAAATCGATCTAGCTATGATTTATTTTTAGAAAATGTCTTTTCGTCCGTGTTTTCAGGCAATGAAAAACTGCTACAATATAAGAATTTTTTTTTTTTGTGTGAGGGAATCTTTGGGTTTTCTTTCCCCACGTTTTATGTTTCCATTTGGTAAATTTTGACACTGTGCTAATGATCGTAATACGATGTACGATGTGGATATCCAGCGGTCGTGAAACAGTAATGCCTTCGCGTCCTGTCTTCGGTCCGATTTTTTTTCCTTATTTTTCAAGTCCCTTCTTTTGTGAGAAAATCTATTATTTCGAGCCCTTTTTTAGTATTTTTTAAAAATACGAAAATTTTAATTAAACTAATTGCACTCATGATTTTTTTATTCAAATAACCAGTTCAGTTTTTTCTATTATGTCAGTAAGATCAAAAAATATTATTTATGTTTCATCAGTATGTATCTAAATGTAATTTAAAAAAAAAACGAGCAAAGCTCGGTCATCCGGGTACTATCTATATTAATTAGTAGAATTTAGTAAGAATACCTAGTCCCTTTTTCTTGTGGTAAAGTCACGATACAACTGTTTTCTGGTTGAAACACAAAACAAATAAAAGACCACGCTTTCATAGAATATCAGAGATAAAACTGTGTTTCATATGGTGAGTGTAGAAAATCGGAGACTCTTTTTTATGGAACTAAAGTGAAAAATGAACCTATAGTCCACCTGATGATAATTGAATAGTGCAGCATTCTTCATAAAAAGCCAACAGATGTGTTGTCATCCCTGATAATTAAGAAAGAACTCACAGCCTGTAGTTATAAAAGTTAAAGTTACAGTCTTTATACGTTCCACTGCTAGGCGCAGACCTCTTCTTATTTCTGAGAGTGTTTAAAGGCATTGAAATATTGACCGCGCTGATCTAAAGCGTGTTGGCGAACTTAATATGTCTTTGAAACATATTTTTTCTTATTTACCAGATATGCAGGTTGTTTTCACGATTGCTTATTTTCACGATATTTTTCTTCATCACTGAGCACGCGGTAAATCAGCACTTAAAATTGCAATTGACAATTCATTGGTGCCGGTGGGAATCGCATCCGGGCATCCGCACTATGAAATTTAGAATGAGCGCTTAGCTCCTGAGCTACCACGACGGTTATTATACTAGCTTTTAAGTACACTGAATGAAACACATTAATGTCAGCACTGCTATTTAGCCTCAGAAGTAGGTAATAGAGTGACGGACATTGAAGGAGTCATCATTATTAATGAGACATTCAATTCTAAACCTAAGAATTGGAAACTAATCAGTATTTTAATGCCTAATTAATAATATAAATACACGTAGATGTGAATGGACGATAACATCCAAAGTCTATTAGGTACATAGTTTTACTCAAGCGCCTTTCCCACCATTATTCAACAAAGCTTAATTAAGAAAGCACTTCAAAAATTATTTCAAGAAGCGAAAAAATAACAAAGATGATTATAGATATTCAAAGAGAGATTTAAAAACATATTAATAAGGAAGGAAAAAAGCTTGGTGCAATTATAACTTTTATCTGCATACATCCTACAACTCTACTTACTTATTCGGCAAGATAACAAAAGCAATGCAGACAAAGTCCTTTTAAAAGCAGATCTTGTTTACATTTGAAAATTTGTTTGTGCCGCAAACGCTTAAAGCATTCTTAAATTAAATATACAGGTTGAAGATCTCCAACTGATTCCGCAGAATCTATGTGAAGGGTCGTTTTATTTATGTAGTCAAGTATTGTTATAATTTAAGCTTACTTTAGTACAATTTACTTTTATTTCTTATTCTTATTTTTACTTTATTACAATGGTTCATAAAACCTGAGTATAGAGAGTTCTATCTGTGTTCAAATGAACTTGATAATTGAAATTATTGAAACTGATTTACAACCCGAATATTTAGTAAATGAAAAAATAGAAAATTGGTGAAAATTTTCTTTCTTTTAAATGTATTAAAAGCTTTTCTATTAATCATTTTTTTCCTTTGAACGTAGTAGTGCGACGCTGCACTGTACGTGACTGCAGCACGAATTGGTTGGCTATGTCAAGGGACGAACTCGGCATACATAGGGTGCGTTTGGCAGAAAAAAGCGCTAGCAAGCGCTTACAAGCGCTGAAATAGTTTTCATCCAGGACACGATTGCTACTTCAGTAGCGCTGACACAATCCGCCATTTTGCTTATTTAATTTGTTTGTTTTGAAGTAGAGTTTATAAGTTGTTTTGTGCAATATTAGTTTTAACTAATATAATGACGTGAATAAACATATACATGTTATTAAAAATTCATGATTGGTAAGTTTTTAATATGAATACTTTACAAACATATATTTAAATTAGGTTAGGTTCCCCGGTTAAAACTAACATCGTGTCCTGGAGGAAAATAGCTACTTACGATTTGA